TACTCACCCCGATGCTGAACAACACTCTGGAGTACTTTTTTGATATCTCAAATGCATCTGGAGATCTGGGAGGCTTCTTGCTGTCTGCTGACNCATGGATAATAATACCTAATCAATATTTTCTGATGAAAATATACAGCACTTGCTGTTTTATCTCATCATTTGATTTAGATAGCTGGGGAAAATATTGCAATATATAGTGATACTGCAATATCGTGATAATATCGTATCATGACCCAAGTATCGTGACATGTATTGAATCGCAACATTTATGCCAATACTCACCTCTAATATATATAAACATTTTGCATATAAGATAAAAAATATATATTTTTGTCTGTCAATATTCTCGAACCAGAACTACTCAAGGGGAAACGTTTTAGATTCACCTGGTTTAAGGTCATTTATAATCTTCTTTAAAGAACCTTTGGCTTTCCAATTAATCGATTAATGGAAAAAATGTATTTAATCGTAACATTGCAAACACATTTCTTACAAAATACATGTGAAGTGGAGATAACAGTCAACCAAACAAACATGTTAATCAGGCAAACTATATTAAAATCCATGAGGCATCATTTGTGAGCTCTAAAAGAGATCACAGAATCCAATTAATCATACTGAAAAAAACTAAACAAAACAACTCTCAGGTTCGGACACTTCTCTCTCTACCTGACCTGCAACATCACTGCTCATTGTTTGAGTTCCCTAAATCCAGCCATATCAAATACAAATTGATATTTATATTGTTTATAGATAAAAAAGTTGCTCCTTATTTTGTAATTAAAATCATTTAGACATCACCTGAAGCACTTAAGGGCCAGCTGCTTCACCTACAATCTGCCCTGCACCATTATAACTGGATATCTGTGTTTCCTATAATCATATAAAATTACATTTAACAATTATAACTGTGTTTTTAATATAAAAGGATTAAATAAAACACAACCTTTTATATCATCCTTTGTTACTTACTGTCTGACTGTTAAAATAGCCTCTTATGTCTATTTTCTTTAATAGTGGCATCATCTACAAAGTATAACACTAAGAATGAGTTTATTCGAATATAAAATCCCATTTAACGAATATAAAAGACAATATTACACTATCTTACCAGTGCCCAATCTGGCAACACTGACACTGGTAGCTAGCTGCTCGCTATCTTTGTTAGTCTTTTGCCTAAGAAAGCGCCCAATCCCCCATCTCTGCAGCAGCCACACATGGTGAATGCCATTATCTGAGAATGTGCTATCCAGATTTATAATTTCTGCAATTTTTCTTGGTCTTTTTTTTTCTGCTTTTGGTGCTAGTGTGTTTTATTTTTATCATTGGACAAAGGATATGCTTTTAACAGAAAGTTATCTATTTAATTCATTTTAGCCCATACCAAATATGGTTTTCTGTAGATATTTCTGTGATATTTTGTCTCACGAGGCTAGTGCTGAGTTGACTTGTTCAAGTTAGCAGCTCAATTATGTAGCGACCATCTTGGGGTTTTGGTTGTTTATTTATTACCGACTAAAATTATAAATTAAACTTTATCATGCTAAACAGCTTAAATATCTGTATTTACTAGTAAATTAAGTTCATATTTATAGATTGATTATTTAAATTAATAGTTTAAGTTAATATTTTATGGCAGGCTGGTAGATGTTTATCAGAATCTAAAATATATATTTTTATACATAAATTTTGAGTCGAATTATAGAATATTTTAAAACATCTTCATTATCAAATTTAACTAACTGTATTACAATAGTAAAATAAACATATCATCTGTAGCTAAGATTTGCCGTATCTAAATGTGTGCTCGACGAATTAAATTAGTACTTAACTTTACACCTGTGATGTTTTTGAGTCACTCGTAATACAATACTTTCTAGCACATCAATTTATTCCTCCATTAGCTTTGACCTATTTCTTGTAAAACTGACAATAAAGAACTATTTGTTTATTTGTTTGCGATTTGTAGAAATTTAAACTTAAATCACTGAGGAACTAAAGGAGCAAAGAAATTAAAAACATCCTCCAATACTACTCGGCACTAATCCTTTAAGATGAATATATTTGTTGAATAAATGTTCATAGGACATTCAGATACACACAAAATCTTATTTTTTCTGAAAAGAAAACAGGTCCGAATAAGAGACCCTAACATGGTCAATAGAAGTTTATATTTAAAGAGGTTTGAATATAAGCAGATCACACACCCCTGCTGTTCTATGTCATTGTCCTATGGGAATTCTAAATTGTGTCTAAGCTTTAAAGCTCAGGGTCAGGGGTCACATATGTGGGACCCCTGGGTACCCTCAAGGAGTACATGAGGTGCCCTAGAGCCCCTTCAAACAATAAAACATCTCACCACTGAGCTGCCTCTAAAATTGTATTTTATTCGCTTACTCCTCTTTTACTCACACTTTATAAAAGAAACATTAAAAATATGTTTATTGTACATTAAGTTTTAGTGAACCCTGACTCTTCCAGGTCATAGTTAAATATTGGTAGCCCTTTATATGAGCTACAGTATCCCTAACAAAGATCTTGGTTTCAAAGGAGAGGCGATTCCTGATCTAGGGGGTTATCTGAGGAGGGGAAGTTGTTAGATTTCATCTCTCCGTGGACTTAATGTGAAACACCCCATCCCCTGGCAGCAACAAGGACTCTCAACATAACGTTAACACCATAATTTACTGTTTGGAAAGAGAACTGATTCAGTTATGTTGCCCAAAAGTTAATCTGTGTCTGGTCTGATTATACAAGCTTTCTCTGCGCCTGCTGGTTTGTCCATGAAGGTAGCTACAGATTCCAGTATCATGAAAGTGTTGTTTTGGAGCATGAACTTTTTTTAGGTGGCATCCTCCAAGTCTACCCTGATGGTGAGATTACTTCACTGACGACAGATGCTGGTCCTCCTTCCTCCTTGAGTTTTTGCTGACCAGTTCAAATTGTAGCTCCTGTTCCTAGCTCCTATCCCTCCACCCTTCGCAGGGTCAACAGAAAGAACCCCTAGGAGCTTGAGTCTGCTGTGCTGAATCTGGAAAGCCCTCAGCCTTATGAACATAATTATGTGGCTGATTTGCACATGATCACAGAATATAAAGTTTAAAAAAGACTTGCTGTTATTTTTGACCAGGACCTGTCATTTAAATCCCATATCAAAGAGATTTCTAGAATTTCTTTCTTTCATCTAAGTTTATTGCAAAACTTAGAAATATCCTGGCCAGGGGTGATGACGAGAAACTAGTCCATGCATTTGTTACTTCAAGGCTGGACTATTGTAATTCTTTACTATCAGGAAGTTTTGATGAAAAATAAAAACAGATCATATTTCTCCTAGTTCTCTTCTTTGGCTTCCTGTTAAAGGAATAGTACACCCAAAACATGATTAGCCTTCATTTTCTACTCACCCCGATGCTGAACAACACTCTGGAGTACTTTTTTGATATCTCAAATGCATCTGGAGATCTGGGAGGCTTCTTGCTGTCTGCTGACATTTAGAATGTTTTTAGAGCATAAACAGTAGTGTATAGGATTTCCTAAAAGC